AAGCACCCGCATCTTTTTCCGCGCAAACCCGGCAGCGCCTCAAGGTCAGGGTTGCGGGATCAAGGGGTTTGTCCCCAGCTCAACAACATTTGTTTTCTCTTTGTATAGGTGTAGTCGCTACGGGGTTCGGCCCTTCCATTTCATGGTTGTTGTTGGGAAACATTTTACATTTTTGTTTATTGTGGCTTAGTGGTTGAAATCCAAATCCACTTAACTGCTAAAATTTGAGATTTTTTGCTCCCCTTCCAACATCAACCAAGACTTCCCACGGCGCTCCAGGTCCAAACCGAGGTGTCCGAGAGACGCCTTCGTCCCGTCCTTCGTCGCTCGTCGCGCCGCAGGCGCCGGCGGGGAATCAGCTCTTCCCTCGCCTGGCGCTGAGCTGCTTCCGCCTGGAGCGACAGCTGGCGCCAACGCGCCGCAGCAGCTCCATCGCCTCGCGGCGGTGGAAGTGGGGGGGGGGGTTTTGACTAGGTCCCCCAGCTAGGTGCCCTTTCTCACCCCTGTTTTGGTTGGGAGGGTTCCCCGACCTAAAATAGACTACGATGACTACGGAAAAAAAAGGGGTGTCCTTGTTCTAACCTCTCTGCTGGAGGACCTGGTTGAGTTGGCGTGGCGCAACTGACGAGACGACGAAACTGACATGGCTGTGGTTGTCAAATCCGTTTTGGGATCCCATTTTGGGATAGGTGAATTCACCAACCTATTTTAGTGACTAGTGGGGATTGGGATGTTCACTGGGGGTACGGGATTTTGACCCATGGCTACATATGGCTACATGGAATTCCCATGACATGGCGGTTAAATGAGCCTGTTCTTTGGCCCCCCGAATTTGTTGGGTGCGCGTGATTTTTTTGTTTTCTCGCACGTGGCTGAAACTGGGGCCTTTTGAATGGTGGCTCAAGCTTGGTCCTTGCTGCATTCCGTTCGCCAGACAATATTGGTTTCCCTTTTCCCTAGAGGCCGTGGAGCGAAGAGGCGTTGAGGGTGGAGTAGAGAGCCCCCTAAAATTCTAGCCGTACCGTCCGTGTGCATTCTCGGGGATCCTTTTGGGTACGTGTCCATTGTGTTTTTTCAAAGAGGCACCGAGCGAAAAGACCTTTCCACCCTTGAGTTTCCAAGGTTCGAGCTCCACAAAATAAACCTCTTACTTCCATGTCCTGATAGGAAAACGAGGATGTTTCCCGTGTTCTGAGTCCAAATGCCCAAAGGCAAGTAAGGTGCCAGTGAATGCAAACAGGTATGGGACAACAATGTGGTATTGTCAGCAACCCTTGCTTGGCGACGGTCAGTGTGAATGACGTTGTTTCCCTCAAGATCAAGGCGCGCAAAACTACGCAAAACAGCTTGGACAGGTGACAGGAGTGAAACACACAAGAGAAAGCTCAAGCAGCAACCAATCAAAGGCCCTTGCAAGATGCGGGCAAGCTGCAAGTGTTCCGGACATGATGGCTGCTCCTCGAGCTGTTTTCCTGTTTCGCCAAGGCTATCAACAAGCGTGCCCAGTTCCTTCCACATGTGGACTCGGGTGCTGGAGCAGGCAGCTTTAGCAGGATGCTCCGCTCGGTTTGCGCAAAACACAACATGGGTGTGGGTCAAAAATAGGTACCCAAAACGGTGGAAAAGGAAACCAGGACTCAAACCTGCCCTCCCCTGGTGGTTTAATTCTGACCCACAGCCACATGGCTTCAACACACTGTTGATGGACAAAATTATGCGCCAGTTCGGACGGACGGACGCCCTATGAATATCGGGATAAGCCGCCAACTAGTGCAAGATGTTCTCCATCCACTGCAGTCGGGGAGCTTGCACCCTGTTGGTTTTCCTGAAGAAAAGACACCCACGGCCACGTGGTATCAGACCTGGGACAACTCTGCCGCCAAAAGGCACGCCAGCTTTTCGGGCACGAGTGCAGGGACTTCCTTCTCTTGATTGTGTCACCCCCTTGACGTTGTTTGAGAACCGTTCACGGCTGGAAACATCCGACATTTTCCCAACCGGTCCCTAAAACCGATTCGTTCTGGGCAGCATAGGAACCAACTTACACGGTGATGCTGGTAGAAAATAAATCATTAAGTTTGAGTTTGAGCAAACCGAAAGCCCGCCGGACCAATGGCCTTTCACCACCAACCTGGCAGGTTGCTTCCTTTGCTAGCGGGTTCAGATTTGCTCAAGATGATAAATGGGATGGACACCCTTAAAGTAGGTGCTGTCCCTTTGGTGTCCATGTAAGAAACAAGCCAGAAAAGGATGCCCTCCGAGGAAAAGAGCATGTTTAAGCCATCAGTATGTTGAAGCCATGATTCAACTTGTTGGTTCCTGACATGACCGCTTTACGGTCCAAAACAATTTGAAGCGTTCCTGTCCCGGGAGATTTGGAGGAAGCAGTTCTGGCAAATGCCACGCTCCTTGGTACGTACCTTCTTCTTGGGACCTAAATTGGTCGGTTTCCGGTTGGCTCCCCGTAACACAAAAAGGCAGGAACCTACAGGGACCCTTAAAAAGGTTTCGATTCGACATCGTTGGCTTTTGTTTTCCAGAAGGCAGACACTCACCTGCCCTGCAGGTTGACAAGCGGTTCCCCGAAAAGAGATGATAGAAGCCACTGTCGTTTGTCCGGTTCCATGCTCATCCGCAGTGTATAAGCGGTTTTGGTTTTACAAAACACGGGGGGGTGGTTTTGGCTGTTTCCCGGGAAACCGTTTCTCATGTCATAAAAAAGGGATCGCTATTGGTGTTGTTTCATTGGTTTCCCTTGAAGCATCCCCAATCGGGTACCAACTCAAGAGCAGACACTCCTCACTCCCCGAGTTCCACTACTTTCTATTTGGGAATATCCGTTGTGTATAGGGTTCCAATTCAAAAAGCACACTCTACTTGGTGGTTTCCAGCCATCCGGTTCCTTAGCTTTTTAGCTTTTTAGGTTTAGTGGTTGGGTTTCCGAATTTAACCCAATAGTTAGTGACTTTTTTTTTCCGGGGGGGGGTAGAAAACGGAGGGCCCAGCCTGCAATGAAAATCATGGGGGGGGGTCTCTTCGCAGGGCAGGGCATTTCCCTGATCGTCGGGCTGGGGGACTACTCGGGTGGCGAGCTGTGCCTAGAGGGCGTCTCGGACTCGCCGGAGGTGCACAACATCAGGCGGTTTGAGGGGGAGCTGAAGACTCGCAAGGGTTGTGTTTTTTTTGTGGTTCTCAGGAGGAAATCAAAAGGATTCTGGGGCTATTGAACAATCTGAATGGTCCAGTGGTTTTCATTTGGGGTGATGTCTAATGGGAAAAGGTAGGGAACCCTGTTGAAAGGTTGACTCTTGCTGGTCAGTAAGAATCACAGCTGGGGAAGAACCGGGCGAATTCACTTAAAACCAGGTGCTGGTTTGGGGCATCCCAAGGTTTGTGTTTTTTGTTTTTCCTTTTTTTGTGGGTTGGAATGCGCTCCCTACTCCAGATACCCGCTTTTGTGGCTCTTTTTGAAACACCCGGTTTTTGCTTTGCACATGCCTTTGTCATGGCAATATCATACCCTCAGACAAAAGGGTGTTAGGAGTAGGGGTGAAGCATTCATGCCAATTAATTGTTTTAATTCGTGCACATCCCCAAGCTGTACGGTGATAGGGTCAGGATGATGAGACTTGCCAAGGGTGTGATGAAACTTGAATGGGGATTCCCCGCGACTGGCTGACTAATTGTGTGTTATGTCGCGTACTTGAGAACACAAGGCCTGCGAATAAGCGCGAGCAGGAACCGCTGCTGCCCCTGTAGATACTGTTCATCATGCGGCATCATGGCACTCTCCTGAAGAGGTCAGCTGAAACTCGCCGCATGTTTGGACATACAGGATGAATGGGCATCTGAGAGAAGCATTTGTTTTGAGCAAGGTACTCCAATAGTGTCGCAGAAGTGGGCCGTTCCGACAACCCTGCGTTTGCATGATGTGTTTCAGATTGATCCCACCCCCCCCCCCCACCCCCCACAGATTTGAGGAGCGCAGTCTGTTGCTCCCAGCCCAAAATCTTCCAAGATCCACCGGAAGGCCATCAACAGGCGCAGTCTTCTTTCAGTACCTGTTGGCAGGAACCAGTTTCCGCAGGGTCTTCGCAGCAAGGAAACCAATTGATTGGTTAGACCGATCTTTCGACATGTCGGTCTTCCCATTTCAAGTCAAGGTCCCAGAAGGTCAGCATGTGTCTTCCAGTTGTCTCGCTCGAACAGCGGGATGTACTCTTGTCGTCTTTCCTCGGCCCACAGAAGCGTAGCTGTCAGAAAAGAGCCGGCCGTTCACAGACGTTTTCTATCGGCGTATGTCAGTGCATGAAATCACATGTTAGCCAGCATCCTTTTGTAGAAACGCACTGTGTGCATCATGATGGGCTGGCTTTAACCCGGAACCAGGACATCCTTTTGCAGCTAGCATGTCTTGTTGAAGACCCCTTGACAAAGGCCACACTTTGACATGAGCCTAGTCGCAGCATGTGCTTCTTCAACCAGGGGCAGCCTTGGACATCCAGGAATTCCTTTGTGTACACACATCCAATGGGGCGCATCCATCATGTATTGACTTTCTGGTGAGAGAGATATGTTTGAAAACCAGGTTGTTTCGCGTTTGTAGGAGGGTGCCACATTCAAGAGACCTTCATGTAGGTTTGGAAGGTATTGCCCACCGATCGATTTCAGTGAGCCAAAGAGGGGAGGAACATACGCAAGTCTGTCGACTCCGTTTAGAGGGTAGACGCCCCGATGAATCCACGGGCGGATGATCTGGGAGATAGCTAAGTGGTTAGCAAGCCTGGTTGTAACCCACTTAGCATGTAAGTCCCCTATAACCAGGGGTTACCCCACTTAGCGGGTTACTAAGCATTTAGCGATTCGTCCAAGACCATCTAAGCACGGCAAGTTGCATCCATCAGCCCTCCCTATCCCAAAGCCTTTGGGCCATGGTGCGCGCCGGCTAGCTCGAATCAAGGCAAGCTTCCATCGCGGAACGGAATGGCACCTGACAAATC